CCCCTCGCATAATCCACTCTACCTCTCTCGCTCCGCTATCATGTATCCCGGTGACGGCTCTCTCCGCCAAATCTTCTCGCGTCGCTAAGCCACTGATCGGAGATTGCGGCGTCGCCCAGACGCCCACAGCTCGCGAGGTACTTAACACCGAAACCAATCGCAAGGAAACCGTGAATTTATTACGCCGAATTCGGCGTATCCTTGTTTGGTCAGCTCTCGAGAAGCCAAAATCACTTGCATCGGGAGCGCGCCGTTTGCACGCGCGTAAGCCACCTCGTAAGCTCCGCCGTCGAAAGCCGTCCGAACGCGATCGGTCCTTCACGTCCGATCCGTTTACCGATGCGATTATATTGATCGACCGTGTGCTGTGCCGGGCCGTGCCGCCGTGTCCGTGTAGAGTGTAGACGGGATCCGAACGCAAAAAATTCCACGCAGATCTGCTCTCTCGCCTCGGAACGAAAATGTGATCTCACGGAGAGACTTATAGTGACGGCATTATTTCGACATGAAAAGTAGAGCGCGCTTTTTCGCATTTGGAGCTAATCCCGTGTAACTCTTTTCTAGTGTCCTTCTTTCTGAATCAAGTCGCGCGCGCGAATAAGCTCGTAATTAAAATCGTACTTGGTCGTTCGCGTGTGTTTCTTCACCGGGACACGAACACGTTCTGCGAAAATTTCAGCTGACGCGGAGATATCTCTTCTCGTTACATCTACCTGGCCATCTTCGTAGATCCTCTTTTATCCGCCTTTCGTTTGTAAGTCGCATCGCAGCGCAGATTGTCCTTTGGTGATTTACTCGTTTGACACTTTGAACAGCATTGAGTATTAGATCCATATTATAATATTACCATTTCACGTACACAAACAACTTACTAGGATATAGTTTAGTTAGTTTAGTAAATTAATAATATAGAATACGTTATTAATCCCAGCAATATACTAATTTATTAGCATGATCTTTGCATATGTAACATGTCAAATTTTGTTCTTATTAATAAAGCAATAGTTGAAAAAAATTCCCATTAAAAGCTAAAATACGCGACAGAGTCAGAAGTTGCCGCGGTATTCAACGAAAGCGTGCAATTAGTAAGCTCCTAGCGTGATAACTTGAAATGTTACGTAATATTTCCACGTATTGTGCAAGAATTCTCTCTCTCTCTCTTTCTCTCGTCACTCGGGCATTTAAGGGGCAGGGCCCGAGGGGTAGGGCGAAGCCTGAAACTCTACGCTCGAAATCATTCCAAGTTTCCCGTGTACCATGAAGGGTGTCGGGTGGCGGGGCAAGATCCCGATTACGTTCTACCTTGCTCAGTCGACGAGATTCCTCCGACAGTTGTAGTCTCGGGAACGTCTACGCCCTTCTCTCGTAAGTCCGCGATTCCGTCTACAGATGGACCGCGCAAAGACGAGAGAGAGAGGAAGAACGTGAGAGACCGTAAAGAGAGGTGCTTTCTCGAGGCATGCGGGAATGGCGAAATTCGTCCGGATTTCGGCCGTTCGTTCGTTTCGCCAAGAATCCTCGTCAATGCGTCCTCCTCGCGAACGCGAATCGTTACCGGAGATTGCTCTCTCCTCACGGAGCCGGTGACCGGATACGGAACGGTCACCGGCACGAAGCACGCCGAGTTTCGCGGCGAATTTGACAATTTGCGCACGTGCGCACATGGTCGCGTGCACGTAAGCCCGCACGACACTGAGCCCGATTCTCCACGTTCTGTGCAGTCGCCCGTGTGTATTCTACATATATAGCGTTGCTCGAGTGCATTAATTAAATACATTCCTCCCCGACGGCGTTTCGTGCACGTCATTCTCCGACCGACCGACCGAATGTCCACCACCTTTGATTGTCCGCCGAGTTCCTATTGTGGCAACCAAAACTGTCTCTCTGTCGCACGAAATCTCGTGGGTATCCGTCCGCGTGGCGAGAATGGTTTTGATGAAGCTGCGTCGTCCGAGTTCATTAGCGGCGTTAACAGGCCTTCGTACCTTCTGTCCGGACCGTGGTTCTGTTTCAAGTAACCGGTCGTCAATTTTCGCTAATGTATCAACATCGCGGTTTCGAACGACGCTGTCCGCAATCGCAGTGGAATCGTTCGTACTCCGAGCTCGTACGCGAGCTACCGTTTGCACGCTCCTTCGTGTCTCGTGTTCGCGTGTCCCGCGTTACGTACGAATTATAGGCATTATTTCTCTCGCGTCGGTTCGCATTTAAGATTTCCCGCCGATCGATACGGCGGGGTACCTATAGCAGGGTATCCGCGCGGCTAACATGTGATTCCTCGCAGCAACATTGCGCTTTCGAGTCCAAGATTACTTATCTCGTGCCGAGAGAGCCAAAATATTTCGCAAGATGAAGATAACTGGGTCGATTTCACGATTCGACGATAAAATAGGCAAACAGCGGGACGTATAACGAGACTAGAAGCAATGAAAATTTAAATAAGAAGCCGGCGCGGCGGAGACAATCAGATTGTGTGTCTGAGCTGTTTTTATACCACTGTGCAAGAATACGAAGCGCGTTTGTTCGTCGTTTGCTATTGGTTGATTTTTATACTTTCGGCAGAGAGACAGAGAGAGAAGAAGGCAGACAATTGCTCGATACGCCGCGCCGACTGCGTTTTAATAAATGAAAACGCACGAGAGGAGCAAAGCGAACGTAGACGAGAGGCGCACTGCCTTTATCTTTATTTCAGATGAAGTCGTTTCGCGTGCTTCTTTCCTTCTTGCCCTCGGGCAAGTCCACGAAGGGAGTCGCGCACGTATTGCGGTCGCCCTTACTTATAGGACACCGACACCTTTTCACGGTCGTTGGCAGACCTTGCTCTCCTGGGGCGTCGGCGGCGCCGTCGGTTAGGTGCATTATTAAATACGGTCAGACGATGGCAAGCGTTAACCGGATGTAACGAAGTAGGCAGCGCGCGTGAGACATAGGTAGCGAGCGAGCGAGCGAGCGAAGTCGCTGAATATTCAGGCGCAACTAGCGTCTGAACACTATATTTCAGTGCCGTCTACAGACGTTTGTTCCGCGACTATAAGTTTCCAGTTAGAAACTTCCTCGGCAGAGCATAAAACCAATTTATACTTCAACGGGAAGTCCACAAAGAAATAGCTTAAGCTCGCCGCAACGAAATCGTGTTGCTGGAACGGTCAGATCGATTCTTTACACGTTCTTCGAGCTCGCGTGATAAGTATTGAGTAATCTGCGGAGGACTGAGATATCGCATTCTCAAACAAATCAGGAAAAACGGGTAAAACGGAAAAATGTGAGAAAACGGGAAAATAGCATTTAGGATATCGCAAACACATTTGACATTCGAACCCAAAGAGAATAAAGATCATAAGTGCGAATAAAGTAATTATCGCGAATCGCCATTATCCTCTTTTGCGGCGATAAAAATTCGTTAGAAGTCACGTGGGACCAGTTCTCCGCATTCCTCCGACGCTTTGGATGCGAAGAACCATTAACGTGACACGTAAGTGGCGTTTTTCGTTCTATAAGGCCGTAATTAAAAATTCTTGTGTAGTTTGAAAGTGGATTCATACGGAAGTTCAGCGTGCTGGCGGACGGTGGACTAAAGTTCCACGCTCGCCTGCGAATCGTGACACTGACGGCTACTCGGCGCCATCGAACTAAATGATCATTAATTGCGAGCTCCGGGTACATTATGCGAATTACTTGAGCGACAGCCATGTCGCTAATATTAAGTTCCTCGGTAGAAGAATGCCGGTATCTCGCTCAATTATAACTTTCTACGAAACTTGCTTATTAGTGACATGAAAAATTCAGATCTATCTTTGCCACTTTATGTTGATATATCTGTTATTTGATAGTCTCAAGATAAGTTAGCCCCATCAGAATCTTATTAAAAGCGGAATAAAAATAGAAACTAATAAAGTAGGATTTAATCTGTCTCCATATTAATTTTATAAAAGCTTTATCTGCTCCTGCTTTTAAAATGATATTTGAAAATTTAATTGTCATTTTAATTGTTATTTCAAAAATTTGAAAAATAATTTGATAGGTTTTTAATGAAATGATTTTAAACGAAATCGTTGTTCGTTTACAAGTGTTATATGTAGAAATCTTGTTGTATACATTTATGCATAAATTATTACGTAAATTGTTGTTACATTTATATTTCAGCCGTTTTATTTGTGATAATGATTTCAAACAATAATTAAAATTATACGATAACAATGTCTTGATACGATGTAATTTCAATTTGATATATATTCGTGGTTGTGATGGCGCAATAGCCAAATTGAATTGTACAATGCAGCATCACTTTGCCACCACGGGCTCGTTACTGTATCATCATTGTCGGTAACGAGCTCGTATCGTCATTACGTTCACTGATTCGCGAGCCGTGATCCGTTGTATTGTTAGATGCGAGATATTCCCGGAGAGAAATACAAGGTAATAAATAATTGCTCGGTGCCGTCTTTGTTATCTTGTTCGTAAGATTCGATACAAACGCTTAACTACATAACGCGTAACGTAGAAATCTCGTTAATGGCTTCAATTTAATTAAAATGAGCTACAAGTACTGGAAGTAGAAATGTAAAATGAAACAATTGGAAAGGTCGAATAAAATAATATTATATTTCTGTAATAAAATTAACAATTATTGCGTTTGCTATGATTTATTATAATAATTATTAAGTAAAAGTTCTCGTATTATTTTAAGGCAGTTTATAAGAGCTATTTTATTTTAGCGTTAAAAAGCCATTACATTATCGTGCTCGTGCCCAATAGTCCTAGCTTTGACTACTTAAACTTAGTGTAGCTTTGAGGGAAGACCTGTTTTGGCAGGTAAACTATGGGTAAACAACATGACGTCAGTGGAATCCAAGGTTGAGCAGGTGCTGGCAAACGGGAAAGAAGAAGAAAGGGAAGGTGCGCGAGGATGCAGGCAGGAGGGAAACCCTCGGGGGTGGCTCGTGCGCGGGCGCGGCTTTGCGGGTCAGAGTGCGTCGGGTATATAACCGGGCGGATGCCGTCGTCCCTTAGTCTCGCGCTTATCGTCGTCGTGACGACCCGCTCGAGCTCGACACCGATGTCGTTTTCGTGATCTGTGACGTTCCGATGTGCGGTGCGTACCGATCTGCACACCGTGTCAATCGGCAAGGTGCCCGATATCAGATTACAAGCCCTCGGGAGGTAATTACGTTTATTCCACCTGAATAAGCAAGAAACCGCGTAGCTGCTACCTCCGATAATATCACCGATCAGTGGAGGAATTAATATTTTTACCTCCGCGATCGCATTTGAGCGTCTTTGATACGAATCGTATGCTATTACGCGATTTAACTGAAGTCAGAAAAGTTACAAAAACAATTGGAAAAAAGCGGTACCATATTTTTCAAGTGTAATATTACGGTAAATTCAAACGGGATCGGAGCTATCAAATACCTCTAATTAAAAATAATAATTTTCTACCACACGGAATTCTCTCGTTTCTCTAACAATCATTCAACACAATTTGGCGCGGTTGAACAGGACGAATGCTGAGGAACATTTACTAGTTACCACTACTAGCTACTTGAATGCCAAGTGTATGCCCGACTTTTATCTCGAGGTGACATCTCGCCGGAAGCAAGCAGCAAGAACCACACTAGTGAGATCGTCGGAACGTCAGAAGTTCAACCCTAGTTCTCGCACGCCAGGATCGGAGAAAAAAATCGTCGTGACACCTGTCCAAAGATTGAATTCGACGGAGCGGAAGGTAAAGTCGAAGGAAGACGAGGAACAAGAAGAAGCGCCCAAGTGGCAGCGTCGCTAGTGGAGAGAGATAGGAAAGTGGTAGCGAGAGAAGCAGGAGGTCGGCGGGAGGTGAAGGCGCTGCCGCGGAGGATTCCAAGCCGTGCCCCCCGGCAAGATACGAGCCGCTTATACTTGTATAGCTACGTACACAGTAAAATTGTGGCGATGAAGGAACCCTGGCTACGAGTATCTGGGTCATGCAACCGTCCTCTCGGTGTTGCAGCCTGTTCTCCATAATTCTGCGAAATTTCCCCGATGCAGCAAAAAAGTAGAGATCATCGTTGACCGAAAGAGTTCTCACTCTTGAAGCGCACGAGAGATCCGCGAATACAGGACGATAAAAATAACAGCGAAATTGTTCGATCTTCCGTCGAGTAATCGCGTTGTGTTTGCCGTGGCGTTCCGCGAACGTTATGCTAAATGATAAGGGCACACAGAATATCGAGCGTTCAATTCAGAAGAAATGCACAACGCTGTGTTCTGTGTCAGCGTAATTGGAAATCCATTCGTAGAGTAAACGGATAAATATATATCGAATACGCGACCTGTTCCAGAACGAAGTTGCAACTTATAGGGCTGTCACGTTAATGTCACTTACGTCCGGCAGCGGTAAGTGAACTATAGACATATCGCGCTTTACTCTGCCGGGAGAATCCGTAATGATCCGCACGGATCAGTGATTTGCGGGCTGGAGAGCGGATCGATCCGATACCGGCCGCTGGCGCGGTAACGAGCTGTTACGTCGTTACGCGGTTACGTAAAAAGGATCCACTTAGATCCCCGCGGGAGCAATTGTCGAGGAAAGTCCACGCGAGGGCTATTATCTAAGTCCGTGAGCGATTCACACGCGGAACCCGCTGCCACCCTTCATCTGGAACACGCTTGAGTCGGTCGACCCGATAAATAATGAACTCCCGCAGTCATTTGTCAAGCTCACCGTGGGACAAACGAATGTTCATCGGGGTAACGTCGTCGTCGGCCTAAATGGGTGAGATCAACGCAAGGCACCGGCTAGCACCGTGACATTTCGCGTCGCTTTGCCGTTACGCAAGCGTTACGCAAGAATCATGTCCCTTTGACTCAACCGAGAACAGGTAAATCAAACGGTATATAAGCGATCGGCCTTTACGATTTGTCTGCTCGCAAAGCTATATTGACGAAACGAACACAGAAGGGTGGAATGCCGAGGTTCGTGAATTGAAATGGTGCTTAGTAACGATCCTTAAGCGCTGAAAGGACGCAGGTACGCTTTTCGATCGTGAACTCTCACCTGAGCGTTCGCCCTAGAAATGCGAGAGTCATCTGATTCCGATCGCGATCAGTGCAGTCATCCCGGGCAGTACGATCAATCGCGCAGGAGATAACGGTGCCCGAAAATACGGCTCGCGACTTCATGACAGTGCTTGCGCATCGGGCTCGCGGACGAACGAACGTGGAGAGCTTATCTTGTACGTGGTAGCAAGCAACGCCAAGCAACATGAGGCGACGGAACAACGGTTACTTCTGCCAAACGTCATCGGTCAAGAGGAATGGCCGCGGTGGATGCAACGAAACTGAGGCGAACGAGCCACCGGGATGGTGCATCTACGCGGCGGTCGCGCTCGTCGCGGTCGGCTGTTATCTCAATGCGCTCGACTGCGACTTCGTGCACGATGACATACCGGCGGTGGTGAGGAACAGGGACGTGATCGGCGAGGCGTCGTGGAGCAGCGTGCTCAACGACGATTTCTGGGGTACACCGATGGAAAGCATCAATAGTCACAAGAGCTATCGACCTTTCACCACTCTGACGTTTCGGTGAGCCAATATTTCTCTCACATTTATCGAGCTCTTTGTTGGACTGTTTGTCTGAGAATTAGATAAAGGATTGACCTGGTTAGTTTCAATCGAAAAGCTTTATGGCAATAACCGGTAATACCGCGATGGGAAATCGAATTACTTTACTGTCGTGCGAAATTATTTATACTTTTATTCAGATCTGTATTTTCAACGAGGATTGGATATTTGTTCCGCTATTTTTAGGTATTATTACGTTTTGATTTAATCTGTCTTTTCTCTTTCCTTCTTGCGGCTCGTTTATCAAAACTGGTCCTTCAGGACAATCCGTTAAATAGAAAAGTGAATACGATTCGGTGCACGGTCGTATCCGTCCGGATGAAATAAGACGGCAAGAAATTGTCTCGAGAAACGTGTCTGGTTGCCTGACGTTCCAAGCACATGGCACGACCACGTAGCTCGCAAGCACCGGCGGCCTCCTTGCCGTTCTTACCGGGACATCCCGGATCTCGTATATATGTACGTGTATACGGGAAGGTACGTACCTATATATGTACCTTCATATATACGTACGCGTGTAGATACATAGCCGTATATAGGTATCCCATGCAATCGGAGATGCACCTTATGGTCGTACCACTAAGGACGGATCGGCAAGAACCGTTCTCTGACCACGACGGAAGCGACCGAGCATACGGTGGGGTGTGCAGGAACGTGTCGTGTAGAGCACACGAAACTTCCACCCTGCCTCCCCGCACCCCCTCCCCCTCCCTCCGACCATCTACCTTCCTGCCCGCTTTCTGCCCGCCGATTTGATGCATGGATACCAGTTTGCCACTCCACGTGCAATACTGCATATTGGCTGGTATTGGACGATCCATCACGCCGCAAGACACCGGCACATCGCTCATCCACCCTTAACGCTCCAGATGCTGTTGCCAACTTCGACGAGGTGTGCGGGCGCGAAACGTGGCGCGCGGGCGGGACGGGTCGAGAAAAGGGAGCAGCCGGGCGTAAGGGCGAGGGCATAAACGCCTCCACGTTTCGCGCGTTATCGGAAGTGGAACGCATCCATAATCCCCCGGGGGCGCGGAGACGCCGGCGCCGCGGCGCGCCGCGAACCACATTCGTCTCGTCGAGAAGACGAGACTTTAACGATCCGGATCGCCACTGACGCGCGGGAACGTGCTTTTATATCGCACGCGCGCGCGCGCGGGTTGAGGCGATACCCTCCCGGTATCTCTTATTGTTGCCGCCACTCGATTCGAGCGAGGCGGGGGAGAGTGGTTTATGCGCGTGCGAAAAATGCGTCGCTTATGCTGACATGCGGTTGAAAGGATAAGCGAAGATTTATGTGTCAGCCGTTTAAGGCGAGAGTTGTCTACATTCTACAATATTGGACGGTTGATGTATCGTTACTTTCGTCGTTCATTTGACGCGAGGGGCGCGTCAAATATACAGCGCGAGCAAATTACGAGTCTCTATCTTGGTTAATAATCTATTCCTCTAGCATTTTATTGCGTCTGCAATATCATGCACGAGTAGCCGCGAAAAAGAGGAAATCGAATTCGAACACGCTGGATTTTCTCTGATCGTCGGTAGCTCGCACCGATAATTCTTTCTATGCTATAGCAATCGTACTTTGCATTCGTCGGTGGCAGGTGGAAAGCTTTGGACAATTCCCAGTGCATGTATGCTCCATGCTTCATCCTTCTCGCGGCGTGTCTCTTTTCACCGCCCGTTCTCTTTATTGCCACGAAACTCTGACGGCGCACACGGTATGCCGCTTTGAGAATTCGAGTTCTCGGATGAAAATGCGCCGGGGCGACCTCAAAAGTCCAGAGTGCATTCGTGGCAGTTGACCCAACGCCTTCCGCATGGACCGCTCCAAAGTTTCCGAGAGATTCCCGGGCATTTCCTCGAAGCAGTCATCGTATTCTGCTGTGTTCGCGTATATATACGTTTTATACGTTTTATCTCGTCTATATCATCGTGTAGCGTACAACGGGTCCCGGCTACGCCCGAGCCACAGACTGATAGACGTGAGCAATTTTGTACTCAACGTGTGTGGCATATCATTTCGTAGATCGCATCAGCGATCGTTCTCCCTGCGCTTAATTCGCGTGTTTGATCGCTTTGCCGACGTTTTTGACGCGACGGGTGCTAATTGAGATGATATCAGCCGCGCGCGCACGGCGTACCTTATCGCGAAGGGATATTTGGAAACCAGTTACTATTACCGGTTATTTGCAGTCCGCGGAATCGTGCGGGCACGTATTTGATAGGAAAAATGGGATTTCATGCAAGTTGTACGTGTTTCAACTACTTCGTTTCGGCCGGAAATAATTTACGGGTGCGGTCGAGCGTGAGTCTTCGCCCCGGCAAATGAATAACGCAGAGAGCTCGCCGAGCGATTCGTTTCCACGTTTTGCGAGAGGGCCGAGCTTCACGGGTTGACGATCATGTTAGATCATTACGTCCGCAAATAGACTGCGGAATACGCTCCAGATAGTCCGATAAAGGAGAAAGCCTCGGATAAAATCAGGTGACGCCTTATTACACCGGCTGAGAGAGCATACAGGTGTCTAATAATACGCAACGCTCGCGCTTATCGGGATTGCGTCCAAATTGGGTGCTCTAATGCGAAGCCCGATATTTATGAAACGCGATTAAACGCGGGATACGCGGAGCGCGCGAGGTGACTATCGCCTTCGATTAAAGCTAAGAAAATTAGGGTGGTCTGATGTAAAATTGTGGCGTGTGCCTCCTACCGCGTTAAAGTCCGGTATACGCGCGCGAGAGCGATTATTGAAGCTCCGCAAACATTAAATTTATCTATCCAATTAACGCGGCATACTCGTTCACGGGATATAACGTTATTTACGTGCAGTTCAATTAAGAGAAATCTTCCTGTCCTCGGTGCGCGCGGCGGAATATTCGCGCTTCTCTATTATGTTCTTCTCCAGCGGATTTATCAACGCATCCAGTGTACTTTGATAATACACATCGCACACACTCACACACGCTCACGCTCACCAAAGCCTTTGTACTTGTACAATGACGATCGATCGATATAATCGCGTTCGTCGCAAGTTGGAACTTATATCGTTTCCCCGGAGATTCTTCTTTGTCTCGTCACTTGTGGCCACGAGTACGGCGCGCTTTGCGGCGAGATCGTGGCCAAAAACCGTGACGGTGAATATCCACTGATTTTTCCGCGATAGCCGGCGGCCACAAAGCGTCATCTGAATTTGATCATCTCCGTTTGGTTTGTCTGTATTGGAATAATCCGTGAATGCTGCTATCTCTGCTTGCTAAAAGTCTCTCTTTTATGTCGTGTTTTTTATATCTCACTATTTATTCTCAGATATTAAATGGCATCAACTGGAAAAGCCATCTCGCGAATAACATTGGCTAATGGATCGTTTAAGATCTCCTCATAAACGATGTCTCTTATTGGCTCGTTGACGCGGTTGTTAGCATTTTACTGGCATTAAATCACGATCAGCGACTAAGTCCGTTAGGCGTTAGCCGGTGATTTATGAGTCGGCCGACAGTGGCAATGGGCCACGCTTTGCGGCCGTCTCCTGTGAGGGAATAATTATTATTAAATTACTTGACCAGGACGCGCAACGTGGTGGAATCTCGTTCCGCGGCGCTACTGACACGCATGAATGATTGCGCGCTGCAAGCTCTAATTTAGACGTGTGATATAACTTTGCGTTGCGCGGCACGTACGCCTCGCATTCGATTACGCCACGATCTGTCGACTATGATATTATATTTCATTTAGTCTTGTGATTAACTCTCATTATCGAGACAGATATCGGAATTTCATATTACTATCATCAATACTTGATCTATCAACAATGCAGCAAAGTAATGGCACATTTCTTTTGATGCGTAGAGAAGTAGAGACATGTATTTGCCGTCAAGACGAAAATATGCTTTAAAGTAGTGATAAGAAATATAATGTGACTATTTAAATATCACATATCGTTATCTTCATGCTAAAAATATACATGCAAATATGCCAGTTTTCAAGTCTGATTGCATTTTATATATTCAAAGCTTATATACTAAATATTTAAATTTATGTAAACAAATATTATCTATTCACGAGAGAGATTTTGCAAAGTGAAAAATTTATATTTATATAATAAAGATAAATATAATTTGATATAAAATTGATACATTTTTTTAGATAAACAGTCAAATTTTTTTGGCTAAGAAAAATTGGATTTCTCATCATATTATTACCATCTAATCTGGCTATACTACTAATGCGACATTGCATTTATGTATACGAGCGACAGATAAAAATCGTGTAGATATCAATGTGTGTACGCTGACTCGCGGCTTGATACATATACAATGATACGCTTGTATTTCGACATGAGTTCAAGGGAGAGATATCTCATCTGAGCGCACTTCAAAAGTGGGCATTTCGACATTCAAGTGTATCGCGTTTCCTTCTGGTGTTCTTCGTTCATGACGAATAGAAGTTCTTCCCGTTTTATTTGAGTTATTCAGGCAGGATAGTTTCATGAGCGAACTCTTCAGTCCAAGTGCATTCAGGCTGTACTTGCACCGTCGACGTGAGGAAGGGACAGTTCTAGTTTCAAACGCGACAAGAATATGCTATTTTATATATATATCTATGAACGTTCTTTCAATCCGATCGTGGCCGAGAAACCCGGAGCGCGCATTTGTCTTCTCCGAGATGTATCACTTCCGTTTATTGGATCGGCGAACTTTGAGTTGTAACAGGCTATGTTACATACAAGAAGAGGATGAGATTTCGTAAATCCGAAAAGAAGAAAGCAGATCCACCGTTGCATTTTCAGTTCCACGAACGTTCAATAGTATATGTATACATATTCTTCTATTATAAATCATATTATCAAACCAGTCAGATTCATGTGTGACTAGAAGTATTTTTGTTGACTACATTTACATTGTAAAAACGTTTCAAGTTGAAAAAGCTCGTTAAAAATCATTTCATTTTTCGCAGTTTCCGT